GAAACCCTAGTGTCAACTACACTCCACCTGGTCCATATTTCACAACAATATATATTATATATATATATCGACCTAACGATTTTATTTAAAACTACGACTAAATGACAATTATGATATATTTGAATGAGAGAAAACCTTAAGATATGAAATTTGTGTCACCTGGGCTTTACAGCTCTTCTATAAACACAACAAACCTTGTTGTTGTTATAAGGGATGTAGTTATATTTTTTGTTTAAAAAAAGTTTTTATCAAGATATTGGGGATGGGTAACCTCTGTCCGCCTATATAACGGTGGACCAACCTCCTCCAATTGAACAAATTATACGACTCTTTATTCTCATTGCTCAAATTGTGAAACTGTAATTTGCCTGTGTTATGCAGTTCTATTATTTTCAATATATTGTAAGTAGGAAAAATATAAATTTGGAGTCTTCACCTCTGGATTTTAATTTGTACTTCAGTTTAGTGCCTCTTCAAAACAATGTTCCTAATAATCCTTTCCTCTAAATTGCACTGAGTAAATATTATTTCCTTGGATGTTACACAAATAATAAAAATGAGCTGACCCCAGAAATTTATAAAAGAACCATTGCTTCAAATGGATGTTTTTATGCTTTAAGAGTTATTTAAAATCCAGTTTTCTCTAATTAAGAACTTAAGTGCTTCTTTGCAAAAATCTTATAGGATCTGTCCTGACTTATGCGTCAGGCCATTGACCTTACGTGATGAGGAAGCTTTGGGAATTTTCGACAGGAAGATCTTACGCTGCATTCTTGGTAGAATCCAAGTGATTGGATCATGGAGATCTAACTTGGAACACTACAGAATTGATATTATAAAATTCGTCAAATTACAGAGACTTAAATGGGCTGGTTATCTGTCTAGAATGAATGAAGATCGTTTCTGCAAGGAAATCATTCTGACAAAGCCCATGGGAAATAGACCTCGGGGCAGACCCCCTTTAAGATGGATTGATTGTGTCAAAAAAGACCTAAATATTTTAAAGTTCAAAAACTGGAAAACAGTTGCAAAAAATAAAGATGTCTGGAGAAAACTTTTGGAGAAGGCCAGGGTCCACCCATGGTTGTCAAATCATTGAAAAAGGATGTTACACATACTAAACCGACTTGACATTTTCAAAACTCTGTCCCTGTGATGTATTAACAGTCGTGGCAAATGGCAATCTTACAGGGAATTGGGAACGTTTCAGTGCGAATGACATATCCAAGTCCCCTCGAGTGTCCAGTGTGATTCTTGATATACATACAATTCCGCCTTTTTTATCTCCTGATAAAATTTCATACTGCTGTATATTCTTCAGATACGCATTAATAATGTAATGTTGTGTTGATTTTTGAGCTTGAAGTACTTGATTGAACTGAAAATTGCGCCTTATTGCCAATTTGCAACCTTAATACTAACCAGGACTTATTGCCTTTTTCTCTTTGTTCTCGCATATGAGATATATAAATAAATTTGTTAAATCATCACGAAAAACTTTTATATATAAAGAGAGAAGCTTAAGACACGTATAATCTACTTGCCATCAAACAGTTCATTAAAACCAGTTCTTAATCGCAATCCCACATAAAACCGGGTCTCTTTGTTTCGTTGCAGATCGTTGTGTACTAACAGATTGATAAAGATTAAATCTTGAACCCAAGCATTATCCCCATAATCCTCCGATAAGTATGCTCTTATCAAAGCTAACACGCGCAGCCACGTAGACGGTAGTTTTGTTGATTTAGATGTGGAATTGTTATCCCCTGTGCCACGATGACAAAGCATTTAAGGGTGATGAAACTGTTTGCTCAAAATCGGTATCGAGCAAAGGTGGAAATGTCGGCCATTTTGGGGGGTCACGCTAGTTGCCGTGTCGGTGGAAATTATCTAGCTGGGTGCGGGTGAACTGTACGTAGAGGCACGTGCCGACAAAAATAGAAAAATGTTACTTTACTCGTATAATCTGTGAAATTCTGAAGTAATATTTTTTACTTTGGGGTATAGATTTATTTGTCTGTCCGAGTAAAAAGAGAGAGAGAGAGTTTAAATTTATTTATTTTCGTATCTATCCATTTTGAGAAAGACAACCTATGGATTTCGTAGGGCTCTTTTTTAGGATATTAAAGTATTGATCCGAATTTGATATATTGTTCTTCAAAAATGCTTCATTTTATCAATGTGTTCCACATACACACTGCAAAAGTCAATGAATGGAGTCCATTAAAAGTCGCCAGTTTAGCAGCGTTTCAGCTATGGAGCGAATATTTTTGAAAGTTAGATCTTTTTGTGTTTCTTAGAGGTTAATTAGCGTTTATGGGTTTTTTTAAATCAAATTTTTGTCTATTGGTCGAGGTTTTCCCCCACTGTTTATAGATGTAGCCGACGCCCAGTGGCAGCGTTTCGCGCTTCAATGGCCACAGGTCCGGTGGTTCAAACCCCGGCTGGGTAAGATGGGCTCAGCCTTTCATCCCGTCAATGGGTCCCCCTCAGGGGGCTCACCTTCTTTAGGTGAGTACGGGTGTCACAATCCCGAGGTGCCCTAGTGATCTTTTCCCTTTTCCCACGGGGTTTACTGTCTTTGGTAAACACGGGCTTCACGAACCCGGGGTACCCTAGTGATCCTTCTCTATTTTCGACCCTCTTTCTTGTCATTCAATTCATTCTTTCTCTTCCCGTCTAGACCAGATATTAAAACAAATGTTTGGCGCAGTACAGCCGAAATCGGCTCTTGCGCCAATAAACCCCAAAATCACTCACTCACCCGTCAATGGGTCGATAAATTACCATGCTTGCTTGAGAAATAAACTCTGGGGGGGGGGGGTTCGCTTCAGACGGACCACTTGACCGGTACATATGTAATTCAGCACCCAAGGTCACGAAAACTGAGAAGGCCACAATAGGTCTTGACCCTCCATGGGCTGTTATGTTTATAGATGAGCCGCCGGTGTTATATCGGTCGATTCAAGTCGTAAGTCCGAGTCCTGGTGTCTGTAAAGACCCACCTTGTGCAGGGACGGATTAACGTTAATTTGTTAAAGTTCAGGGTCCTCACGCATGATGAGCTAGTACCTTCCCCCTCTCCAAACTTTCACAAGTGTTATCCTCATCACTGAATCTTGATAAAAAGAAATGAAGTCCCCCAAATACAAAATTGTGATGCTTCGAAACTCTGAATTTAATATTGTTGACTGTCATTCCATTGAAAATTTTATTTCCTTCCTCTCTGTAAAAGCTCTTAATTGAATTATTAATTCCAATCAATTACTGGGTCCTAATGAGTGGGAAGGTGGGGTAAGCAGGTAGTCAGGTGGGACTGCAGCCGGGTTCACGACGTGCATTTTTTATTTGGGATCACCAGGTCTATTTTAAAACATAGTACTATTTTTGGGAGGTATCTGTAGCCGGGTCTCCGTCGCAAACGTAGTTTATTATTTTTTCCCCTAAAGTCCTAACAATAAATCTGTTGTTGTTGTTACCTATGCCACTTGTCTGACGTAGTCGGATCGAGGCCCACGAAATTCATCATGGCAACGGGCTAGAGATACGCCTGTCGTTATCCGAAGCTTTGAGCCCATGAAGGTGGCAGTACGATTTTGCTCACGATAGATGGCGACACCATTCGGACCCACAGATTTAACGAGCACGTACTCCGTGTGCACTCGGCGGATATTTAGTGGCATCGAACCCAGGCCTTCCGGTCTGGCGCCCGATGCTCTAACCACAAGGCTACCCATGGCCCTACAACTAATCTACTTATATTAATTTAATGAAGAATAAACAATGTATCACGATTTTTATATTTTCTGCATTAACCCCTTGCTTACCGTGTAACCACTAGAGGGATACATATGGCTTATTTAGGTGTACAATCAGTGTAACCAACACAGGAAACATTATAATGTAGATTTTCTTTTATTGGGATTGTGTAAAATTACAAAAGTTAAGTTACATAATGCTTGCGATACAAAAATTTGAAAAGGAGAATTGAAATTACAAATCTTTGTGAAATTGCTCGAAATGTTCCTTGAAGCAAAAAGCTTTTCCGCGTGCGTTACATAAGTGTATTGTCATTTTTGTGTTCCATTTCTTCATCTTCTTTATCACAAATAGATAAATCCCTATCAGAATGATTGTCATACTCATCGGTTTCTGGCAAATATTCGCTTTCAGTATCTTAGTCGTTGAAATCCAACGACGATGCCATATTGGCAAGAAAAAGTAAATCAAAGAATAAAAATAGTTATACAAAATTTAGGATAGCGAAACGAAACACGAACGAATGTGCGACCTAGTCAGCGTCAAAAGTAAAAAAGAAACGTGCGTCGTAAAGTCAAGGTCGGTATCCCCAGAAATCTGGTATTATCTGGCAAGGGGTTAAGGCTCATAATAATAATTTTTTAAAGATGTTGTTGAAAATGTGCTAAAGTCGCTACTTTTTATATTGCACAAAGGTTGTCATTCTCGTCCCTCGCTCATGTTATCAAAGTCTTTCAAAATAAATTAACCGAGGACGGTATTTGACCACAACTGAGTTGGTAGTCAAATTCTGATATTGGCTTACGAGTCAAATCCTTCTGCTAATATCCTTTGTGTAGCTTTGAAATAAGGCGTTTAACAATCAATCACCTATACCTGATAGGTAAATAGATGCACCACAGAAGTCAACCGAAAGTATTCAGTGAACAAAGCGAAAATTATAGTAATAATAATTAAAAAAAAATTTAAGTCAATTCCTACTTAGGTCAACAAAGAGAAATTTTATTTTAGTTACTGTTTATTAAATAGTTACAATTAATATAAATATGTATATACACATATGGCAAATCACACTCTTTAGTCGCAAAATAGAAAACGATTTTCCTTGCAATTTCCCATTTACCTTTCTATATATAGTTTTAGACTATTATTATTATTTGTTACTATTTATTCATTAATTAAATTTAATTATTTCAGTAAAATGGTATAGCAAAAAGAAATCGCATTCACAGAAATTAGGCCATCGCAGGTAGGATTCGAACCCATCTTTGGATTGGAAGTCCAACGCGCTATATCTGGCGCTACAGGGACTAACGAGTGATTTTTCTTTTTATATATGGTGTTGGACATTTATTTTTGTTGGTTACAATTTATTCATTAATTAAATAGAATTAGTGAATTAATATTTGAAAAAACTGTTAACATCAAGCATCATTCATCAAGTGGTTAAAAAAATGTATTTTGAACGTGAGTGGATAAACAAAAAGTAGTTTTTGCACGATTGAAAAACTTAACAAGGTTATATATATATTAAATAAAGAAATATATAGGGAGAGTGTGAACTAATAGTAGGAATTGAAAAAGAAATCGTAATTAGATGCATGAGTTTATCTTAGAAGTCTGAGTTAGTTCCTTTTGTTTCGTTTTCAAAACTAAAAATTTCAAGATGTGTGACGTTAAACGGCTTGTTACACAGTTATCCTTAATTCATTTTTTTTTTACAGTTCCTAGAAACCTTTCCTTTAGTGACGTATTTGCAGTTAATATTCTTTTTGAGACTTCCTCTCCCGATTCTTGTTCCACCGGAAATGACCCATGCGTCTTAAAGGCAACATTTAAGATGTATTTATAATTTATTTTCTGAATGTGTGTGTGTGTGTTACGACATAACAATGCCAAGAAATGTGCTTAACTATTAATTGCAGTTGCAGTGAATGACGTGCTACTGTTAACTATGTGTGAGTTACCAGCAAGTTTCCGCTGATAAATTTCAATATCCGTTATTGCTCATTCGATTTCGCCTTATTTATATCATTATATTTGTTAAATGAAATTAATTCTTAAAAATGTTTTTGTAATTTAGTGTCCGTTTTTATTGTTGATTTTTTTATATGAAATATTCAATACATATGTTCGTTTTCTCAACTTAAAGATCGTCTACATTTATAAGAAATAATTAATTATCGTTTAAAAAAAACTAAAAAACACCCTTTTATAGTTAGTTCATCGAACTAAGTTGTAACTTAATCTTGAAGTCGCCAGTGGGATCTGAAATTAGTCGACAGATGCGAGATGAGATCTGAAAATGGGAGATCGTTAATCCCAATTATTAAATTACTGTACAGTAGAACGTCGTTTATCCGAACGCTTATTATCCGGGGCATCAAATATCCGGACCAGTGTATATATTGTACAGCGAAAAATAAGCGATTATTTTCCACAATAAAGGTAAATTTGCGACTTTTTGCACCTATTTTGCTTTTTCTTCAAGCACGTTTCCCGCATGTGATAATTTTCAATATTCGTATAGTGTCCGGTTTCATATACTGCATGGATCGCATTCGGTTTTCGGTTATCCGAACAATCGCATATCCGTACGGTGTCCGGTTCCAATTGATTCGGATAAACGACGTTCTACTGTATTGTGTGTCATCGGTCCTGGGCAAGTGAGCAAAATTTCGAATTAATTTGACCTTTTAAAGTGGGTATAAATGGAGTTCAAAGAATCCGTTACATACAATTGAAGCTTATAAAAGGGTGCTAAAAAGATGTATTAGTAATATGTATATTTTTTATTTATATTAGTCAAATTTTTTTCGAAACCGATGCAGTAAACGTTTTAAGAGTAGCGGTTGCCACCCAGTGGTCCGTTAAAAAATTTGTGATGGTCGGAAGGAAAATTGAGCCCTCCTTTATATATTTATGATGATTCAGTTTAAAAAATGACGAGTAACGAAATGTATTATGGAATATGGATTATACTTTAAAAAAATTTGTAACTACTGCTTTTTGCGAAATTCCTTCTGAGTTCAGCGACTTTTTAACTATTTTTGCTGGTGTAGACATTTGAAAGTCAAAGCTGGTGACAATGGTGAATTGGCGGCATAACACTTAGTTTATTGATATTGCGTTGCCAGTTTGTTTTTGCTTTTCCAGAAGTTCCTTTTCAGTGATGTGGACATGTAAATAGAGACGTTAAATAAGTGACAATATAGTCAATAGTGGTCTAAAGGTTAACGACCGCTGTTGTAGAGTACATATATATGTGCATTGATCGAATTTTTGTCTGATACAATTTTGAAGGAAAACAGTATTGAAAAATAGGAATGTGACCCAGAATCTGTTAATTTGGATGGAATGGGCAGTAATTGAGAAATAGATTTTGTCTTATGCAGTACGGTTGACATCTGTTAAAAAAAAATGAGACAAAATATAGTCTTTAGGCAAAATAATTGAATTTGAAAAGCTGGTTGACTGGTAGGTTTTTTTAAACCATCGTACAGTGAATCCTACATTATTTATGTTGTTTTAACCAGTTTTTTGCGATTAACGAGTATACTCGTCATGGGGAGAAGTTGCAGGATTTGATGTATTAACGAATATACTCGTCAAGGGGAGAAGTTGCAGGATTTGATGTATTGACGAGTATACTCGTCATGGAGAGAAGTTGCAGGATTTTGTATATTGACGAGTATACTCGTCATGCGTAAAAGGTAGTGACCATTTGCTATTTAAGTTGTAGTTTTTGAGAAAAACAAAACATATTCTCAAATTTCAAGATGTTTAGAATAGAAGAAATTAGAATAAATGTAAAACACAAACAAATAAATAATACTAAACATTTAAGGTGAACTCATGTGCCCCCGTATGCACCGACTGAAACAGCGCATAAGTTCGCATAACGAATTTTTTGTGTGTGTAGTGATAACGTTTTTTAGATGTTAGCCTAAAAGGAGCAAAGACAAAAAAAAAGTCGGAAAGTTGATTTTTATCCATTATTTTTAAATTCTTACCTTTATATGTATTTAATTTCCCTTGTCTTTTTCGAGTGATATGTGTTGTTAACCAAATAAATTAACATTAGTAATAAAAAAATTCCCAATTTTATAAAATAACCCATTTTTTGTATCCAATATTTTAACAGCGCAACTTACTCTGTGATTGAAGGGTATGCTCATCATCGCTTGATTTCCATGACTGGCATAGTTGTACTCTCTCAAACGGGGACCCCACAGTTACATGGTTAAGACGAAGAATTGAAATAAATTTTTAAACTATTACGAAAGAAATATATCTTTTAGTTTTAAGAACAACTTGTCGAATCAAGAGAATATTGAGGTCTAACAAAAATTGAAATCTTCATGTGTGCCGAGTAGAGGAGCTGATGTACACGTTAAATCTGCCGTGGCTCAAACGTCCTCCCCTTGAGAGAGGGGTGTCATCTTCTCATTTGACCATGGTTCAAAATTAGTGGTCAGTCGCCAACAGTGCCTTATATAGTGCGACGTTGATAAAACATTTATTCAATAAACCTCCACGTAGTATAATATGTCTTGAATATTAATTCGAAAGGGTGAGTGTGTTCATCATTTGATCATATAATCGCCTTCGTCCTGAGATCATATATGTTCTCTGAGATCATATAATCGCCTTCGTCTGAATATATAATCGCTTCGTCTGAGATCATATAATCGCCTTCGTCCTGACATATAATCGCCTTCGTCCTGAGATCATATAATCGCCTTCGTCCTGAGATCATATAATCGCCTTCGTCCTGAGATCATATAATCGCCTTCGTCCTGAGATCATATAATCGCCTTCATATAATCGCCTTCGTCCTGAGATCATATAATCGCCTTCGTCCTGAGATCATATACAGTAGAACGTCGTTTATCCGAATCAATTGGGACCGGTCACCGTTCGGATACATGATTGTTCGGATAACCGAAAACCGAATGCGATCCATGCAGTGTGTGATGCTGGACACTATGCAAAACTGAAAATCATCGCATGCGGGAAACGGGCTTGAAGAAAAAGCAAAATAGGTGCAAAATGTCGCAATTTTACCTTGATTGTGGAAAATTATTACTTATTTTTCGCTATACCATTGTACACCTTCGTTTTTTCGCTGCAAGAACTCTGATTCTCTTCAGCAGCAGTAGTTGGGTAGGATAGCACTCGGACTGTTGTTCGTACCACTCCATGGTTGTCTCTATCGCAGAAAAACGCGTCAGCATTTGATGGACCCTTGCTACTTTCGTTGTTGTTGTCCTCGTCTTCATCCGTTTCATCGTCGACAGGGTCGGATTCTTCTTGCACGGAAGTCACAATCTTGTCATTATTTAGCATTTGAAATCCACAGTCTTCTGCATCGCATGCCATCCAGGTTTCTACATCAACAAAACTCAACAAAAGAGCTCGTATACACCCCCTCACTTGGAAGCAAACTAACCTAATATTCAGCGCAGATGTTTACCAAATCACACAACTGAAATTCTCCAAATATCCCTCACCTTGGGGTTTCCCGTCACTTTTGGCCTCACGCGAAACAACTGTTGAGCATTGCACTGTTCGAAAACGTATCCGGACTTTGGTTCGGATATTTGACGCTCCGGATAATAAACGTTCGGATAAACGACGCTCTACTGTAATCGCCTTCGTCCTGAGATCATATAAAGGAGATATATTACACCAAGATTAAAATTTTAAAGCTTGAGAATAATTTGAACAAAATCTGACGGAACAACTAATGTGCTTGGAAATTGAGTAGAATCCCCCCCCCCCCTTCAGTTTGAATCAATGGAATTTTTTCCGACAAGTCATATAAATTATTTGGGCGTCTTTCGTCTTGACACTTTGTCACCAAACCTCTATAAGTAACCTCGCCAACCTCAAAGTCTTGCTCTCCTGATTGCTCAATTGCGAGATGTTTCTTATCTAATTTGTTGTCCTTGGGTCAATTTGGCGGCATTATTTAGGTTGTTTATTCGACTTAGGGGAGAAAAAATATTTCTTTCATGATTCTAATAGGTGTGCTTTTCTAGAATGAAGTGGGCGGGATAGTTTATGATGAGAGGTTCCGATACCGGGATGAAGCTGCTAATGTTATTCGCGTTGGTAAAAAAATTACGTGTTTTGTTTGATAAAGATTTTCCCCCCCTGAAAGTTTTCCTTTTTTACGGTTTGTTTTGATTTTTTATTTTAATGATTATTTATCTAAATGCTTTTTTTATTGCCCTGAATTTTTTTCTCTTCAGTTTTGATAGATCTTACAGTACGGTCTCTAAGGAAAAATGAATAAAAAAAGTTTT